AGAAATAGCTTCGGTATGCACCCAAACCCCAATGCACACACATCCATGCGACTTTAGTGTTACTGTACCAGCACGTAAACCCACATTGCACTAAGCAACCTGTACCACTACACGTAAGGCACATCTATCTACAACCGAACTGTCATAGTAGTACAATACTAGTACTATCACTTCCGGTAGTGTAATCCATGGCTTAAGTTGCTTTGCGAGTCGACACCAAAGGCACAAACAACGGTGTCGTGCTCACAGTGTTATAATTCGCACTAATATACTGTAAAGTTCAAACAGATATATCAGCTCCAACAGTGTCGTGGTTGAGATATGTGGCGGCGTTGCTAATGCCCCGGGTTCAAATCCCGAAATCAATCGTACTTTTTTGTACTTGAACTTGCAGTAATGTAGAATCTGGCCAGTCCATGTGTGTGTTGTTTTTTGTCCAATCAGAGTGTATGTGGAAAGCACGCCAGTTCTTACATCTCATTTCATTATTTCCTCAAGTTCGATGGGGCGACTGCGTCTGAGGGGGCCGGAGGCAAGAGACTACACAGTGGCGGCGTGACGACGTGAGCTCGACGGTGCCGACAAGAGGTTACTTGGCGATAGCGCCACAAGGCGATCTTTGTGTTGTATGTAATGTAGTCAAAGTCGGTCGCTGTGATCGTAAGGATCCAACCTTGAGTTGGTGCATACTGTACCCTATAGGTAATTGCGTTGTGAAGGTGTTTGCTATACACACATGAGTTAAATGATGTAAGAGTAATACGAAGACTCGTTCATTTCACGGTGACTACATGTAATCTTGTCATCACTGTCGTTCTAAAACTACCTTGCATGTGATTCTCCACTGTTGCCTTATAAATGCGGGATTATTCGTATAATTCTGAAGTGGTTGGACATGCATGGCACATGCGTAGTGGTGTGGCAGGTGCTGGCGTCGACATCCTTGAGTGGTTCATTCGTGTGCGGGGCTGCATGGTGGTTGGTTCTGACATGGCGGTGGCGTCTGCCGTCGTTCAGGAGGAATACTCAACGACGGCAGACGCCACCGCCATGTCACCAGCCACTACATTGACGAGTGTGGTGGTCGTCAATGTAGTGGTTGGTGCTGGCGTCGATTCGTGTTAAATTGCTCTGAGAATTCAGTGCACATTAATTCTAGTAGTACTATTAGTCCATAGTAGTACTATATACTTTGAACTTACCAGTACAGTTACTCTGAGTACTCTGTCACGGCGTCCCAACCAAAAACTCAATTAGCCATGTGTGTGACTGACCATACGGGTACCTGATGACACGCCAGTATCGTAAACAAACACATGATTATACTCCCTTGGGATCATCCCCAACGAATACTGGTGCTGGAAGCCCATGTGTTTTCTATGTGGTTTTCGTGAAAGTTTGTGTGTATTTCGTTATTTAGGTGTGATAAAAACGGGGTCTCCATGGTGCCGCCATGGTCGGCGGCGTGAGGAGTTTGGAACGGACGTAGGCAAGTTAGTCTGTCGCTGTGTATGTGAGACTGGTACCACCGCTTAGGGAATCACGCAGCGGTGACACCAGTCCATGAACGAGTCGTTTTGGCCAAGAAATGGCCGAGATGTAGTAGTTTGTGTGTGTCGAGGGCATCCCTCAGCGGTGGCACTAGTCCATGAATACGGATAGGTCGAGGTAGAGTAATCCAAAATGCATCTACATATGATCGCATGGCCAAAAATGTGTGGGCTTCTCGCTTACTCGTAGTAACTTGCAGAGCAAGCTGTTGGATTATTTACGCGGTCTACATGCAACTATTTTTGCCTGGAAATTATACCACGTGCAAACCATCCAAATTGGCACACGTAGATTGAAACACGTGCAAACATACCACTTAAAAATAACCACGTGCATGCACACTAAGAACCACGTGCAAAATTTCTACATCCGCAATTGTTTTTCCATAAATATTGCTCCAGGTAGAATTGTGACGATCTGAAAGTATACTTGAATAGAGGAGACATCGTTCTCCGAGTAAGGGGTTTTATTAGCTTTGAACTTTAACGCAGCGAATTCTACGTCAGTTATGTGCTTGAACAGCTGTAGGATTTAATGGAATCCAGCAAGCTTCGATGATTAAATTCAAGCGTAATATAATGTACGACATTCAAGTTTAAAAAAATTCCAGTCCTTTCAAGTAGTACTTGAAGTACTAACTGAACTGAGTCCATACGGTGACGAATGAACTGGCCAAACTTGTTCAAAGTCGAAGAACGGTTCCAGTAGGATAACCAGAGAAAAATATGTTCATAATATTTAATAAGATCTTGGTATAGTTTAAATAAGTATCACAGCTACTTATGAAAATGCCATTTCGTTCTTGACCGTAAGATCATCTGGTGTAATGTTTAGGATGTGTATAGCACTGTCTCAATTGTGTGTACAGCATTACAGATTTGCACACACAGCGGGTCAATCTGATATAGTACTTGGCACGTGTTACCTTACCAGTAATGTAGTAGTACTTGCAGTTAAATTCAAATACCAACACTTGCGCAACAAAGTGCAGAGTATTATTATCATTTTCACCCATACTTTTATTTGACGATGAGGTTAGCGCAACATGCAGATAGGTTGAGCATGAATACACCTTCGACTTGATGAAGATGCGGTTAGAGGTATTAAACTCAAGACGAAGAGGTTCAAAAAAGAATGAGTCAAATCCGACAAGAGGTTAAAAAGTTAACCTCCCGATCGCCCAAACGTACAGTGTGTAATAACGTCCATGCCGCCACGACCAACCAGCTTTGGCCGGCCACTCACGCCAGAGGAGTAATTGTTTATAGCATAAACGTTCTGTGTATAGTGTACTGCAATTTGATATTTACTTTTGTCATGCAACCAGCGATTGTCAAAAATATATTGTTAAAACAATTATTTAAATATATTGAAATAAGTATTTTATTATATTTTTCCTGAACAATAAAACTATTTATTGGAAGTGCGAAATATATTGCAATAGTTATTGTTTTCCACAGAATTATTGCAGTTATTTTATTGGACTCCAAGTAATATTGCCATAGTAATTGGTTTCCAGAGAATTATTGCTGTTATTTTATTGGGCCCCATGAAATATTGCAATAATATTGGTTTTCCGAATCCATTAACCCTGATTGGACAATTTATGTCACTCTACAATATGACTGGTCAAGTTTTTGGCTGGCTCACATGTTCCCATCTTCTCTCGCATTGGGGACTCAAAACAGCTCGCAATATCCACACAACACCAAGACTAAATAACCGGAACACGGCAGCAAGTCCTTCGACCCCAGCCCGCGCGCGAGTCTTGGCCACGAACGAAATCGTGGATGTTTGCTTCAGCTCTCCGATCGTAGACCCACTTCCGGGTCCATGACATTCAAGTGCCGCTTTAAGAACGGCGGCGTTCACAAGAAAGGCAGATGGACCCGAGTCGAATCTTAGCTATACCTCAGCACATGCTTTATGCTTACAGAATATCAGTGCAAAACTGTGATAGTTTTTTCTATATGATGAACAGATATTCAGCTATTTCATTTCCAAAAATGGGTTACAGCCTCGAGATTGATTGCAGATACCGTCCTCGTATTATACAGGACGCGGGTCGACTCTGACAGCGATGAGAGCGAGACAGAATGTGTATCTCCACAAGAAACGGCGAAGAAGACAAAGAAAGCCGAAGTGAAGGTGTCCAAAAAGAAGTGCTTTCAAGTCAAGGCAAAAAACACTCTGGGAAGTAGACAACAAAATTTGAGTGCAAGTATTTATTGACGAATCACAAAATATTGCAATATTTATTGGCTAATCATTAGTTATTTCAATAGTTATTGGTCTTAGGAATATTATTGCAATAGTTATTTGCCAATCAAAATTGAGTGCAATAGTTATTGGCGAATCAATGGTTAGTGCAATAGATATTGGCCAAGCAAAATATATTGCAATAGTTATTTTTATTCTATCGGAAACCACAATAAATAACTCCACCGGAAAATATATTTAAATATATTTTTGACAATCGCTGCATGCAACTATATTAAAATTATAGACTCCACTGTATACTTCTCAAGTAGTGTAAGGGGGAAGAAAACTTAACTCACTGCGAAAGATCTGCGGTTCGAGCCCCACGAGGTCATTTCTTTATTCATATGTCAAGGCGGTTACTAAAATTTGCAACTTTGTAATACGGTCGGTTGCGCACCATATCCGATTTGAGCTTGTTTCGCATCGGTGCTAGGATGGGTGTCCACGATCAATCCTTGACTCGCTTTCCTCAAGGACTGTAACCAACTTGTCCCGGGTGCTACCACATTCACAACGGACCCGCAAGTGCAGTGTATGTTTGTTGCAATCGCATGGCCTCGCACTCAGTTGAAAGGTTGTCCTTCGCGGATGGTCCCCAAACTTGGGGATCATGGCCGTGGCATGGCCATGGACCTTTCTTTCATTGGTCACCGGGGCTGATTCGGCGCCGGTCGCGTTTTCGGACGGCGGGGTCATTTTTGCCGTTTGGAGCGGCCGGGCACCGCCATTTCTTCGCGGATTCTCCCCAAACTTGGGGATCATGGCCGCGGCATGAGTACGGACATATCAGGTATGCACGAAAACTGGGAAGGCAGCCGTACCCTACGAAAGTTCCGAAAGAACCTACTTTTTCAACACATCGCTGCCGTATCACGCTGAATATTCAACAAACCGTGAACCGCGGTTTTGGAAGTGGCAAGTGTATCACAGCCATAGGGGGTGCTAGCACGCCAACAACCCAATGAACGTTTCAACCGCAAACTCAAAGATGTATGTATATGCACGTCAATCATGACCCTCACTACATATATGTTGTTTAGGCAATCGGTCGTGTGAAGAAACACGTCCCACACCTTGTTCAAGAAGTGGCGAAACTGGTTCAAGAAATTCCCACCGAGGCGACGATTGTATACAAAAGTGCACATTAGCGTAGAAGTAGTGAAGTATACGAAGAAGATTTCATAGCGATGACGACTAAGGAGATCTCAGTACATCCTCAGTTAATTCTTTGTGGATTTTGCCCTCAACTACCTACGCTTCCTCCCGCAGTGCTACAAGTGGTAGCACTTCCTGATTCTCTCGCCCCAAGCCCCGTCAACCCGCCGTACGTAGCCCCGAAGCGAAGAACTCCACGTGCGCAAGGCTATCCAAGAGATCACCGACCTATTGATCCACCGGAACGACCAAATCGAGCTACTGATTGAAGGGTCCCTCAACCGGAAGATCCAAGTGTACCACAAGGCCCGCAAGATCAAGGCTGAAGCAAGAGTAGATCGAAGTTCGAAGTAGAGTAATTCAATTTCACCGGAATTACAAAAACAGATGGATGAAGTTTTGCGCAAAATGGCAGAATCCTTTCAGCGACATGAACAGCTGTGGAAACGCTTACCCGCACCCAAGCCGCCCAAATGGAAGCGAGCGAGCGTATGGCCAGTCAACACATGGAACGAGCGACACGATAACCAGAGCTTAAAGTTGAAGGATTAAAAATGCCCAAGTATTATGGACGAATGGACGAATGTATTAGTCTATACATCCACCAAGTTACGATATTTCTCAAGGCAAATAACTGGATTACCAAGAAAACGATGGGACTCAACAGCGATGCATTGCCATGATGGTGGCAAATATCCGTGGCATTGCCGCAACCTGGTACCAAGGACGGCTTTTGCGCGGTGAGTCTCCAAGCACCCTCATTGAACTTGAAAAAGAGCTGCGAGCCGATTTTGAACCCGAGATTTACAAGACACACAACCAACTTGATATTGGTGAGTCATTTGAATGCTCTGTTAATTTCCAATTCATTTTACGTTAAATAATAGGATGGCTTGTCCAACAAGTTCCGGCTCCAGTCCTGCTGCAATGTCAGTGCCTCCACCGGACCCGCGATGGAATCTGCTCCCATACCATCACGGTAGCGACCCAGACTGATATGGTGTTGCCTGGCATAGAGCGTGGCGCACAGAATCTGGTGAGCCGAATTCATCAGGGAAATGCTGAAGCCAACGTGTTTCCTTTGCGTGGAGACCGCAATATGCGAAACTAAGTAGATTATGTCTAGTACGTAGTAGGATGCTGCACCCTTTGATTAGAATACATTTTCGCTGTTTGTCACTGTTGTGGAAACTAAAATACATACTCGAAATTTGCTGCAATACATTTTTCTCTGTTCATTACTGTTACGGACATTAAAATGAAGCTACTCGATGATCAGATTTAATTCCTATTGGTTATACATGTTCGACTTTGGACAATCGAAATTCATTCCTATTTTTAGCTCTTTATTCGTCGTACTCTAATTTTGGCTAAGGGGCTGGTCGCGGAATATGTCTGTCCATGTTTCAAGATATTCCGAGCTTTTGATTGGATATTACCCAATTTTTCCGGATAACACAATCGTTCACGCTTCCGGCATAACTCAGACATGGATGCGAGTTTTGAGGCGTGGATGGTCCATCTACGCCTGGGATAGTCCGTTCATGTCTGGCACTCATTTTCATAAAAAACGAAAGAGTATTGATCGACAATTTTTTGGATTGCGAAAAAGATTGCGAAAATATTTTGTCCGGATACGTCTCATTTTCGGACATGGACTTTATCTTCCCCGACCAGCCCCTAAAGGCAGCACTCGTTTTACTGTTAAGCAACATAACCTTCGTGTCATTGGATGTTTATCTAATATTGTCAGTACTTTCGTCCAATGACACGCATCTGTTTCCCTAACAAATATCGGATACGGTAGCACTAATTATTTTCATATTTGTCAAGTAAGAGTATATCTCACTCGCGTAGAGCATTGGGGTTACAACCCAAATGTTGCGGGTTCAAATCCCGCATAGGATATTAGTTTGGGGAATAATGGGAGACATTAGAATGAGCGCCGCTAGAACTGCGAAAGCAACCATGGTGTATACATTCTGTTGTGCAACGCTAATTTGCATTCTGGGATGGGTACCTTCGGGAAGCCATAATTCCGGGGGCAATATCTACATTTATTACACCGCTCGTAGACAAGCCGTCAGGGAGAAATTCGATGTCGAAATCATATACCTTCTTAGATAGCTATCAAAGCTGGTAATTAATTAGGTCTACCTTCAAGACATATTTGAGGAAAGGTTACATTATTATATTGGCTCTTATACTTTATTACAATTCAATATCAAGTCCATTAAATTGCGAACAGTTTGAGCTGAAGTTACTAATTACCCCATTGCGTTCCATGTTGTTGCGGCTTCTCGAAAGGCCAATCGAAAGTCCTCAGCCCCTAGTGTGTCTATTACGTATGCTACGAGCTAGTGCGATCGAGCTGCTTGATACAGTATGCTGCCAATTCGTTTGAGGTTCTTTGTATTGGTGATGACAGCATGATGTCAACTGATACTGCTGTATCACTGACGTTATATTTTTCCCAAGGGATCGATCCCAATTTGTCCGCAAGGTGGTAATGGATGGGTCAGATGATTTCTATTTCCGTCCTAACTGTTCAGGAGTTTTGGTGTGGATTAGACATTTTTTGTGTGGAATTCGGTGAATTGTGTGTTGTGCTCGGCGAAGTTTGTGTAGAACTCGGGATTTGTATTGTGTTATTAGGTCGTGTGTGTATTTCGTTAAAATTTGTGTTTTTTCGGTCGTTTTCATGTTTATATCGTTATTTAGTGTTTGACAAAAAAACGCCCTCCTACGTTAGACACTAATGTTGATTTCGCAACCAATGAAGGGAGCACTGCGTTTGATGCTCCTTGCGCCTTCGCCTTGCGGACTTCATCACGTTCTGTGTGTGTCTGTATTCAAAGTCGAGAAGAGGTTATCTCAATGCAAAATACATTAGAGCAATCAACTGGTAGCAATCAACTGGTACATCAACTGCATATTCCGAGGTGGTAGTTTTGTTACTGCCAGCTCGATTTCGGCATATTCAGACGTTAGAGTATCAAAACAAATAAGTCGCTACCTAGTTCATTGCCGCCTTGGTTGTTCCCCGAGTCCTCTCCAAGGCCCGATACCTCGTGCAGTGATCCTTGTGAACTGCCGCAGTATATTCGGCATGCTGCCGCTTGAAGTGTGTGTCGACTTGGTTGTACGAGCACTGCACGTTGTCCTTGCACAGATTGCACGTGTACACGAGTGCAACAGGAAGCGATGGCATGGGTTGCCATGGTCGGCGGCGCGAGGGGTGCAGCACGGGCATAGGCAAGTTGGTCTGTCGCTGTGTACTACCTCTGCCTAGAATTGGTTGCCACAATCCCATTTTCAAGGGTTTTGTGAATGCAGCTCCATCAAGATAGGATTTTGTGTAACGAATTGGTACACTTTTAAATAGAGAGTTTTGAGAGGAATCGAGCGATGTGAGAATGCAGCACTGATTCAGAATACCCTAAACGATATCCGGAAAATAATGTGGGAATGATAGTCAATTTTCACTGCATAACACGTAAAGTTTATATAGTATAATATTTGATGATTGAGATGAATATCGGATATTAGAGGTTTACGGTGTATTTGTGGTAAAGTAATTTCCCCCCAAACCTGTATAAACCGATAAAGTGTACCGTAAAATGGCATTGAGGCAAACAATTCCGGACAGAGGTAGTATGTCGGACTGGTACCACCGCTGAGGACTTCCCTCAGCGGTGACACCAGTCCAAGAATGAGTGATTTTGGCCAAGGAATGACCGAGGTCTTGTTTGAGATGTGGTTGAACTGCCTATTCATGCTACACAGTTGTGTCGCAGTGAACGCGACATGTGTGGAGAAGACATACTGTGGAGATGTCATACTGAACATTTCCTACCGAACTGCTCAGATTATTTGATAGTCAATATTTGTGATCAATATATCCATGTGTGAATGAATGCTCCTTCACGTATACTACTCTGTTCTGGCTGAAGAGACCCATATTTTTATCTTGATTGAAGTATACTACCCAAGTGAAAAATATCTTCAAGTTTGTATTGAACTTCAAAATTTCATATTATTGCACAAAAATATAATGACATTATATTAAAATATTAAAACTAGTCACTTTTGGGAATTCAAGGGTCGCTGGCTGAGGAAGGCGACGGCATTCTTGTGCACTGATGGGTCGCATCGAACGTTGTACAACGTCACGTCCTTGATGGCATTCTTGTTCATATGGGGAATCTTGTAATCGTTCGTTCCGAAGGTTTCAAGTGTTTTCTCCATCACCTTTTGTAGGGTGATGAAGGTTTTTGACAATGTTTCCATGGGCAGCTCATCATACGAGTTTTCAGTGTTTTCAATCAGATCGTTGATGGTGCGCGAATGCTTTTGATGTTGTAGGCTTTGAATTGAGTTAAAATATCCCAAATCGAGGACATTAAAATCAGGGCTGTTTGGAGGTTGGTTGGCAGCTTCAATACCAATAACACCATGATGTAGCAGTAGCTGCGAAGTCACACAGTTATGTGGACTTGCATTGTCTTGCTGCAAGTATATTATTTTATTTTCATCTGGCTACGGAAATTTACTCTTGATAGCTGGCACTACCTTGTGCAAAATTGTTTCGCGGTAAATGTCCGAATTTACATTTTGAGGTACTGCAATTATAGTACCCTTGGGGCGATGTTTACCGTCCCTTTGTGCAGGCACTCTTTCGATAAAAGGCCAAATTCCCAACTTGCCATCAAAGTACGATTTTTTGTGAAAGTCATACCGTGGGCGAGCGACCGCGGCCAAAAACATAACTTTTGTAATAAACCTTTTAGACTTGAGCGATCGGAGTGGCAAAACTTCATCACTATATGCATAAAACCTTTTCTTTACAGTCGTAAAAAAACCACTTTTCATCAACATGTACATAGTTGTACATATTGGAAAAAATGGGATTTTTCGACGACTGTGAAAGAAAGGATAGCGCATGCTCCACGCGAAGTCGTTGAGTGTCTTCTGTTAGGAGTGGCTTCGAATAACTTGACTTGGCATTGAGAGTCTTCACTTCTTTCATGTGGCGGACGAGGGTGGTCTTGGGAATTCGAGAGTGGGCGGCCAAAGAACGCAAGGTTTGGCGCGCCATGTACGGCACGGCTCTCACCGCCAATTTCCTCGGCAGTTCGTTTTCGGTTGAAATTACCTAGAATAGTACAATTGTCAAATTTAATACTTCCATAAATGAATAAATTTCAATGTAAATATAGGATTTGACAGGTTTTTACCTTTAAGTTTGGAGTCGACGATGGCGACCGCGCTGCCGCCACGAAGTGAGGCCACACCTCGTTGCCAGATGCGCGCAGCGGTCTTCCAATAGCAGTTGTACATTCGTCCGACCTTCCTGTATGCGCCGTGAGGAAGATCTCCGCGGACACTGAGGCTGAGCAAAGCTTCGTAGATCGCACGCCGCTCGTTGTTGTCGAGCTTCCGCCTGTCGTGGCTGCCGCTGGGTGCGTTGCTTGCGGTGATGGCATGAGCAGGCAGTGTTAAAGCAGGAGTGTATTGAACGTTAAGCGTAGAATTGAAAAGTGAAAGGTCTGCGGGTGAATCTGTGTGCACTCGGCGAAGCCAAGCATTTCTAATGATCATAACGTTTAAGCAAAAGATGTCTAGAAAGCGCTGAAATGAACCAATCAAAGACGAGAATCCGCGCCGTTTGATAAGCCAATTAGAGTGCAGTAAAACGAAAAGTTATAAAAATTCCGCCAATCCAAAGTCAAATGGGCCTCTTCAGCCAGAACAGAGTAGTATGCACACCATTACCACGTGTATGCACACCATTTTTGTAACGCCAGGTCACATCAATTGTAAATATACCACAAACCACATGCAAATATGCTTTCGACCCAAACGCACATTACGGATTGGTGGTTGGTCGTGGTAGGACATGGCGGTTCGTAGTAGCGGCAGATAATCGAATAGATGCGTCGCGGAAGGTCAAATGTGGCAGCAGGTGGGAGGTCGTAGTGGTTTATGGCTGGTTGTAGTATGGTGCGTCGTGTAGGTTATGGTGGTACGGTGGCTATTGTTGGTCGTGATACATCGCGATGATTCGTTGGTTATGGTGGCTTGCATGCACAGTAAGTATAGTCGTGTGCATGGTGAGAGGTGGGCCAATATAGAGTATGGTAGGTCGCCACAGGTCATGTTAGGTCGACGTGGATTGAAAGGGGAGGAATAAAAGAAATATTTTTCGAGCAAGCGATGGATTATTTCCCTGCGAGGTCTCAGAATGGAGCAATTTCGAGCAAAGTTGGGCCTATGAGGCACTTTCCGAGCGTACTTAATAGGACCATGAACAAGTGTTTTCCTTGCGATAAATACCGAGTAAAATTCGGCATATGATAATGAAAATACCTTGCATAGCAACCTCTCACGCACGGAGAATTAGCATAAAACATACCCATCACAATATATGGACTAAGAGCTTCTCCACTGCGACACAACCGTAATTTTTACTACTAGTACTACTATTCAAAGTTACGGATAATTTCTCTATTATCCGGGAAATTAGGTGATACTTGGCTTGGAGCGACACTAAATTTCTCGTTTTACGGTCGACAGTAAACATGAACACCAAATTTTACTGATAACGTACATTTATCAGAAATTGAACCGGATACAAATGCTATCCGGGAAAACCGAAGTTTAATTTAGTGCCAAATATACTGTAGCCGCGGTGGAGATGCTCTAATGGGTTACAGGCAGGGATGAACAGAAATATACTCGATGTGAATTATTATTTTATTTTTGAGAAAAATATATTTATTCTCCTTTATACCAAATCGAATTATCTATTCACAAAACCTAAATAATTCCCGATCAGGTGTGATTTGAAATGTCATTGCTTTCGTGGTGAACAATTGGTAGATACGAACCATATTCAGATGTTAAACTACCAATAGGAATTCACTAATTGAATTTGTCAACTTAAAAAAGTTGAAATTCAATGAATTCCAGGAACCAGGATTTGAAGGAACGCGTAGGCATGGCATCATATCTCAATTTGATGCCAAACCCAC